ACTTCCTGGCGATAGTTTTTTGACAGTTTTTCTAAACAAAGCCGATACTTAATTGTTACGCGTTTTTACTTTATATATTCCACACACATATTTTTAGCTTAATTTTGTTTGCGAGTTAACCGCGGCCCACTTTTTAAAGGTTGGCAACACTTCTGCCAACAGGTGTTGTACATGTCCATGGGCGACAGTTTTTACTTAACGTCAAGTGAACAGGCTTCTCGCTTGCATCCTTCTGACATAAAAAGCTGATTAAGTATTTTAACCATAACGTTGGTTTCGTGACAAAGTCGCTTCTTGCCTAAAGTGTGGTAAAATACTGTGAGCCATACAAATAATTGGTGTTCAAAACTGAGTATTTTGTATAACGTTATGGCCTCTTCTCCTTTGAAACACTTGGTAGAAATCAGACCGCATTGAGGAAGTGAAAAGTTGTACGAGAAATATTTAGTGGTATCTTCGATCAATACCAACAACTTGTAGGTGTAACATCTGAAAGAATAAAATTGATGAAAATATGTTTGACGGGAATTAGTGACATTGATAGTTCATTCGTAAAGTAAAGTAACACCCTACGCATAGCTACTAATATCTACTAACTATACTAGATACGCATTGTCAAAAATGTTTTTTTCTCATAAAGGGAAACAGTATTTTTAGAATGATTAGCTATTAACTTATTAGTGGTATTATGGGACAACCCTGCGGTATTGCGACCAGCCAAGGCCGCCCGAAGCATATTGTCCTGTCCATCAATGAGTAAAGAGCCAGGCTTCTTACTTCTTACGGCCCTTTAACTGACAATCGTATGCACTCGCGTTTTAATGTTTCAACTCGATAATGATTTATTTTATTTATATACACGCAAGTGTAACCCATCGGAATTGAGATACATGTTGTTAACCTCAAAGGATTCTGTACTATTCACCGACCGACACGAACCAAAATGTTATTTTTACATGACGCTGACGTTCAAAATGGAAGTGTTTGATTGAATATTTTATTTTTTATATAAAATTAAACATACGTTCGGTATAATCGTAAAATTTTCTTTTCTTTTTTGAAACTCCAACTTTCTGAAAGTTAAGTTGTCAAGCGCGTAGACGGTCCATCTGATGTTAAGCGATAACCGACCCCTATGGACATCTTCAACCCTTGAGGTTCTGTAGATGCGTTGAAAAACTTTTAAAAAAATAAATATTCAAAATAAATATTCATTCACAAGTAAAAACTTAAAACTAAAGGTATTTTTTTTTTTAAATCTATAATAATAAATATTTATTTTATATAATAAGGAATATTTAAAATCACAAGACACTAATTTAAATTTCAATTTAAAACAGCTAACAATAATATTGATTAATTAATGTAATTTTTAAAATGTTATAGAAATATCATTTTGAAATGCGGGGCAAAAATACTATAAAATGACTACAAATTTCTTTAACGGAGATTAAATATTAGAAAACCAAATGATATAAAATTTTTAACGGTATAATTTTAATGATATAATTCCTGGGCAAATCCTGCCATTTGTGCAGAAACTGTTGAGTGGTTCTACAATAGTGAATTGAAAGTATTACATATACCTATTATGCGATCCTACGAATTCTCAGAATAAACTGACATCTATCTTTCTTTAAACTTTTTTATAATTGTAAGAGTGATGGCAAAAAAATGTTATGTCATAACTATTTGTCACAGTTCCTTTCTGTTCTATAAGATATTCGCAACACCTTTTTTACTCTCAATTTCTTTTTTCTCCAAATATTCCGAAATTATAGCAGTTGTTGCCCATTATCTGCCATTAAAATCTGTTCACAAATGTCACCTATGTACAAAAACGTCTACGGTAACCTACTTAGCTGGAAATCTCTGTGGATCGGCAGATATTCCCTTACAAAAAGCGACCGGCCTGACCGTTCCAAATTGCACCTATAATCGTACCAGCTCCGCTTTTGGCACGACGCGACATGGACGACTCCGACACGGATTATGATGTTAACTCTCTTTATTTAATCTGTGATAATTAATTATAAGCTAAATATTTTAGATTGTGCAGATTAAACCGTTGCGAAAATTAATTTAGGAATCTGTTTAAGGACTGGGTAGGCTCGTCCGATGAAGTACCACGGGGTCATAGCAGATCAAGGTCAAGTGGAAATATAAAACTTTCGCGTTTCGTCTAGTAAGTGAGGTAGCCAGAGTCCATTTTATTTTTAAAAAGTAGGCAACGGATCTGCATTCCATCGGGAGTTGTAAACGTCGATGGGCGCGATCTTCACTTATATTATTTAAATTTTCACATGAAAGTTTTAATGCGTTTTATTTCAACTGTCATGAGTCAGTCCTGTATGAATGCTGCAAAGTATTCTATACGTCTGGAATTAAAGTTTAAATTTGAGTGCGGTATAATTTGTAGAAATACTTTCACGTAATAAAAGTAGAACTCTTTTGTAACGTTAATGTGAGTAAAAGCAGCTTTGTTTATACAAGTTCAACTGTCTAGTTTGATTACGGCGTTTCTATCTCAAATTCTGAGGCTCAATCAAGTACTAAACTTTAACATAAAGCTGTTTTTAAACTGTGAAATCACTTCTGTTACTAAATACTGCTGTTACTGTCGACTCTAGCGATTTTTGTAATGAAAATATTAGACTATCTATTATTTTAATATCGTTATAATATAAACTGTTGGTTTCGGCTCAGATAGTCGTGGTTTCGATTCCAACACGGGACAACAATTTGTATGACCCACAGATAATTGTTCAGGAAACACCCAGAATTGTTGTTGTCAAGGAGGGTCGACGTCAGGCAGGCGGCCGGTCGAAAAAGCTAGCCAAAACCACTTACAACATAATCCACAAGTTGTGTCGACCCAGATAGGATAAGGGCAGAAGGATGATGACGAGATAACACTAGAAATCTGTAAAAATTAAAAAACTAGCAGAAAACGCACAAACACACCTTAGGTATATATTGATGAACTAGTTGTGGCTAATGTAAGATGATTAGCAAATCAATCTAAAACATATATCTCGCCTCGCGGGCTATAAACGGCCGCGTCGGCAATCCGCCACACAAGGTTAATTGTTTCTTTTTTTCCGTGTGGCCTAACTTTCGTTACGTTTTGATGACACATAATAACACTGAAATAGCCATCGCTGGAGTATTTCGAAAGGGTTAGCTGGTTTTTACTCATCGTTAAATAACGTTAATGATTTAAAGCTATTAAAAACGTTTAACGCTAATTAGGCCGCGGTTACGTGCACGTAACTTCCTGCTGTTACTTGTACGACGACGATTTGTCAAATTGCAATTATGTTTTGTACCCCTGTTTAAACAAAAATACCATTTTTATACAGCAATTTCTTATGTTAACCTTTATTTTGCTATGGCTGAAAAAAAAAACAAGACTTGCTTATTAGACGAAGTTATGTTTTGAAATATTTATATACAAAAAGTATGTCAAAAGTTTTGGTTTTACGAAAATAGGTGGGTATGTATTGTAAAAGGCGACGGCGTTATCTTATTTTTCTTAATTCGATAACATTCATTGTAGAAATCGCATATATTAACTGCTTAAATTAAAGTATATAACTTCAAATGGTACTCAAAAGAAAAAGCGAAATTATATGTATTTTTTTATGATAGAATAATTCATAAAGGATAGAATATAAATAACCTGTAATGAATAGGTAAATTTAACTTTCTAATACCATTAATAATAGCTTGTCGATATTTTTGTATTATATTCATCAGAATGTTAAAGTTGATTTTTACAAATGGATTCCAAAATTTCTTTAGAAATTATTGCTAATAAAAATATAGGTAGATACATATCTAAATACTGCAAGCTAGAAGGTAATCGACTCAAAGAAAATCATAAAACATACCAAAATCGATTCCATGTATTTTTTGATGTGGTATTTATCCATTTTGTAATATATAACGTTGATCATTCGTCCAGATAAAATTTTGTGCGAAAAATCGAATTCATCATGGCGGAATATAAACGATATGACTCTACGTAGCCGTAGCACGTGTCACGGGGAATCAGAAATTACAGAATGAGGCCCAGTCGGATCCTTGATATTCATGATATTAAAAGCCAATATCTCGAGCATTAATTTGCCCCACAGGAGCGAGCCGCGCTCTAATGACTCGTAATTACGTCGGCCGTAATGGACCCAGTGATGGCGGGACGGGCTGTACAAAGCGCGCAACCTCCATTTTGATCTTTTTGTTATTTTTTTATTTCCTTTCGACCGGCGATTAACTCGAGCTATGGTTTCAGTTCAGATGAAGCCTTGAACTTTCGTGTTTTGTTTTGGGAGGAATAATACAAGATTAATATATAATGATAAGAAGAACTTAAATGCATATGAAATTATTATGTCTAAATTTGGCTTTAGCGACCTTTACCCACTAAAAAGGCAATTACATACGTGTCCTTTCGCTTGTGTTGACAAATTTATTCTAAATACGGTAGTTAGAAATGATAGTTGAAAATTTATGATTAATAAAAGATATCTGATTTAACTCAGTAAGTAAGATAATTTGCGATCAACTAAAGGTTATTAAAAAAACTCAAGAATTTCCATTAGAACTTTTTAAGTATTATTGAATAAAACTTAGTTTTCAACAAATAAAAAAAATTAGATTTCACGCGCCAAATACCTACCTAAACTTGTTTGAGTACAGCCGCCTTATGTTATAATTATAATTAATTACAATATTTACGAATACCACGCGACATTGTAATAAGTTTAGGCTATCGTCGCTATCTGCATTAACATTTCTCGGCTGAAATTTTTACACCTACTATAAACTTTTAGTAAGAAAAACCTCAGCAATAGCTCAATTCAGTGCTGTAAATAATGTTATTGAATGGTATAAATTAAGTTATAGATACACAGAAAACACACTGTAAATGTTCCGATACCTTACACGTTACACCATGAACCAATGGCCGTCAGCATCGCTCTAAAACGACTTCGTCATCTTTCCGAATCGTAACGGTCCGATCGAATTTCGAACGACGCCACCGCGATCGGATTTCGAACGACAAAGGCGCGGAAGACCGATACAATTCCCGCGCTCGCGTGGAACAGATCGGCAGGCGTCATCAGGCGAGCCGTAATCAAATTGCGCTCACAAAAAACTTCGGAGTCGCCGCGGCCGCGGGGCGCATTGCTTGTCGGACGCCGGCGGGGCGACATAGGGCGGCGGGGCAGGGACGGTCGCGTTTCATTCGCTCTGCTCTGCATTTGCCGCGGTCGAGTTTTTTTTCTTTTAATTTTATAGATTAGGCGTTACGCGTCCACGATTCAAGCCTAAAACTTTAGCCTTTTTCTATATTTATCCCTTCTGTCTTGTTGTATCAATGTATGTTCCAGAAAAAGTTATTAAAATCTAATAAATCAACAGATGATACGGCTCCGAGAATACATATCAATTTTTTAAATGTTGGTAGTATACTGTTCAAAAGCTTTTATAGCATCATTCGTTGCAATTTATTGAGGGAATTTTGCTCGGTTCTCTTTTGAATTGCTTATATTTAATCGCCTTAATTGTTTTACGACCTCCGAGTACGTTCAATCGATTCCATCTTTTTAAATAAAAGAAACTCAGTACCAAAATGTTTTAATATTTTGTTACACAGTTTCAATTACCCTTTAAGCTAAATTATACATTTATTCGTTTCATTTACTCTTAACAATTTGAAGATGAAGTTATTTAAGTGTTTAATATATGACAAATGTCAGTTATTGATTGATATGTGTTAACTAAATTATATCAGCAAGTTTCATTCTAACATTGATAGTATTTGTTGTTAACTAATGCGAGTAAGTTACTATTGTGATAGATGCTTTTCCTGCTGCTAAAACAAGCCCACTACTAGGCAAGTTTTATTATCTTAGTTCTGCTCAGAAGAAAGCGTACCTGTGCTACATAATATAACAGAGCTCATACGCGCCTATGTAAGGATGGGTTGTGTCACAGTCGTAATGACTAAAAACCACACGATGTTCTCAGCACACAATCACCTTCCCTAGTCGTTTCGTCTTCGCTGCCTCTTGGGGAGAAACTCCTCCTTTCTCCACGATCAGCATTCTGGAGTCAATTCCGCCTCAAGTCTGTCGCCTCAAGGGGCCTGACTTGAGGCGGCAAGCCGGGCCCTGCAGGGCCACAACATCGTGGCCCCGACGGGTCACGAAGGATAGCGATAAAAAAGGGAAAAAACTAAATCAATGTAAAGAAAATAAGGCTGCTAGCCTACACGTGCATGGTTATGCCATACAATCGCCCAAAAATATTTAATACAATTATCAAAGAAAAGCACATAATGCACCTTAAATCAACTAAAAAGATTCCCACCAAAACCTGTAATCAACCATTACAATATTAATGAACATTCTCGTAATGCAATGAATGAATAAAATTTAATGACGTATCTATAATAGGCGCGCGCAGTACCACAGATAATACCTGTAGAGGAATAATTACACGATTAAAAACAAAACCAAGAGTACAAAAAGTCCATAGATTAAAACTGGGAATGAGCTTTCAATGACGACTAATGAATACGAGTTTTTCTTTCATATCTGACAACAAAGATAATCTAAGTTACTGGATAGTGCAATAAAATTAAAATAAACTAAATGACTTCGCAAGTTTCTCTTGTCAGTAAAAGTTTGTCTTTTGATATATGTGTATTTTGATACAATTCAATGCTATTTTTTAAACTTTCATGGTTGTCTATGGGGGAGGCCTATGTTTAGGAGTGCACTCAAACAGGCTGAAATGATGATGATTAGTGAAGGTTAAATAATTCATTTGAAGGATCAAATTAATATTTTGTCGGTACAAACTACGGCCTTCTGGTGTGTCATATAACTTTCATATAATTTCACTAAAAAAAAATAACATCTTTTAGTAGTATTACAAAATTGGGATGCGTAGTAACATAGCTGTAAAACGTTTAAGTGTTTCGGAAGATAGACTATTTTATCCCAAGCCGTAAGTTGAAGGCATCACCTACAGACCCTTATCGTTAGATTCGACCATATCATTCATCGCCATCAACATGATCAAACAACTATGTAAACACAAACCACCGCAACAGCACTGGCTGGCGAGTGAGGCAAACACATACTAGATTCCGCCACGTACTTGCTAGGTTTTCCCCCGCTAATGATAGGTGAGGATAAGCGTTGCTGGAGTTTCTTTCGCCACTTCTTCTCCCAGTCCCAACGCTTTCCGAAGTGGTAGTAATGATAGCTATAGAAATTCTTAGTCAGATAATAGCTACCGATCGAGTCGAGATCCGGTCCTCTCGGGTACCCTCAAATCAGAATGCTAATTAACAACCCAAGCTGAGATCCCCTCTCGGGGGCCCTTGAGCCTAGTTACTAATAAACGAGGTTTAGGCTAGGTGCCCTCAGCGTCAGGCCACCTCAACCCTAGTGGATCTATATTGGTCCCCTAAAGGGCAACAGTGAAAGATCCTTCATAAAAAAATATAATTTTATCAAACAAAAATTATGTAATGCCTATTCCAGGGCTCTTCTAATTCTATGAACCTACGGCAGAGGCAGCCATAGTGAGGTCAGCACTTTTTTTTATCGATGAAAGGCATCTTGGTCGGTTTCATATCGGCGTTGGTTTTAAATACTAATATAGATGGCGGGTTTGCGTTTGTGAATTTCCGAACTGACAGTGTTAACTATCCCAGAGGTAAGTAATCCTTCGTAATTATGTGAGGTGATTTCATTTTTTTACTACGACTTTGTCACCTAAATATGTAGAAAAACAGTTTCGCTCTGAAACGAGCAATTGTTTGAAATTAGAATATTTTAAGAATCATGTTTAACTCTTTAATCTTATTTTTAGTTACCTACTTAGTTCCACAAAAGCTAAACACAGTCGCTTCTATTAACAGAACTGATGACGATTGGCACCCAATACCACCATTCGCCTAAACCGTAATGACAAGTTTAATCTATTCCACGCGGGTCCGAACACCCACGCATGTCCTTTATAAGTCGAGACTCTCAAACTCGAGACAAACTTGCATATCTACAGACGGAGCCGCCAATGTTATCATAATGATATTCCGACGTCTTTAGTGCCTTTTAATTGGACCCATCGGCAACAACAAACTCGTAGGTAAAGCATTAAGGACATTATGATGCTTCACAAGTTCGCGGTCGATTTATTTATTTTTAATCTCTGCGGCCAGTGGGATCTGAATCGATTAATTTGAATGCGAAGTAAAACGCTTTAGTTGTCGGTACGGCCCCGGGGAGATGTCGGATTATAAAAGCAAATTGGTATCTTTTCGAATTTAAATATCGATAGGAGATTACTCGTGGTTTGTGTATTTGCAATGCACGAATAAACCGAACTTTTCCAGAACATTAATTCATGTACGAGTATTTACTCTCTGTATTGCGTAATAGATGCCTCGGTAGTCAAGGTAAATGACAAATTAATTTATTTACGGCATAAAAATCTCTTATTAGCTTTTTTGAACGTTCAATAAGAGCTTAAATGAAGCCTATATTGAATAAAGAATCTTTGACTTTGTTTATTTGACGTTCTTGAAGTGCATAGAAAAAGATTTTTAGAAAAAGATTTTCTTTAATTTTTTTCTCTTGGTGCGTTTTGTCGTCAGGCAAAATCTAATCCGATTATATAATTGTCTGCCGATTGCCTAATCGGGGAAACAGTCCTTGGGCAACGGGTCAGCATGAAATCACCTGTTTTATAAGATTACATGATCTCTGGATTCATTGACGATCATGTTTGGAAACGCAACTATCATCTTAAGAAGTACTATCATCTTCGTCACTTTGAGGTACTGCCACTATGATGTCGCAGATTAGTCTTCTTATTTTAGTCACAGTCCCCGTTATTGATTATCTCATATTTTTCATCTCCTTAAACCTTTCATTAGGCAATTTGGAAAACTTAGCTGTAGAACAAGATAGTCTCTGCCTCTCTAGTTACGAAAGGAGGTTCAATTTTCTTTTTTGAAAAATGATGAGAGTAAATTTTTACGATGCTCGCGCACACCGTCACAAAAACCGACACCCTGAAGTTATCTAGATATCTACGTTATGTTTGCGTGAGCAATGACAACTGTATTCACGACATTTATTTTGTGATATTTAAATAAACTTTATTGAACTAGATAATGCGTTATAATAACACTTTCAATGTATTTAATACCTTTTTTCTATTGTTAGTGTCATTTTTTTCTACAAACGTATAATAAGGCAAAAGAAAAAATTTTTCAAAAGATTTTTATCGTGTTACGCCAAAGAAGTATAACTTCTAACGCGTGTATAAAATTACACACACACACTTTTTTATACATTTATCTACGGGGGTGGCAAACGAAAAACACAAGAGATGTTCACCTCAGTCACTGGAGGTAACGCTGTATAGTCAATGTGTTAATTCACGCTGGTCTTCTGGGAGGCAATGGTACCTCCGCGAAGGCCAATTAGTGAAGCAACAAGGCCTTTCTTATGTAGATTGTAGGCTCTACCACTTTGAAATTGCCAATCGAGCGACGCGCGCACCCATTTGCAACGGCCGCTAAGGACGCGGTCGGTGTAGCTATGCGTGCGATTCCATCAAATGCCTCCACCCATCTGTTCTCGGAACGGTTTGGTTTTTTCCGACGTCGTCCGCGGCGAGGGCAACTTGCTTTCGGAACGGCCGAGGTGTGTCAAATTGATTCAGCCCGCTCCGCCGCGGCCATCTTTTATTACATAAAGGAAGATTTATTTTTACGCTCCGTCGGGCGGCGGGTCCGCTTTCCACAGATTAAATATGTGACCGCCGTAATTCCGCGGGCGAATTAGCCGACCCTCCAAAGTTACGGTCCCGAAGTGCAACAGATTGACGTGACAAATCGAAAGTCGTGTATGATATGGTGTCGAAATTCGGGGCACATGAAGTGAACGCTCCTTTGTCTCGCTCATTTTATTAACCGACTTCAAAAGGAGGAGGTTCTCAATTCGACTGTATTTTTATTTATGTTTGTTACCTCTGAACTTTTGACGGAGCGAACCGAGTTTTGATTATTGTTTTTTTATTTGTAAGCTGGTGCTTCCCATGTGGTCCCATATTTATTTCATTGGTATTATTAGATCTTGGGATACGGAGATACTTAGGAAACTCCTGAAAATCAACTACAAAATGAATACAGAGAGAGATATTTGAAGTGCGTTTTGTTTTTCGTTAGTAAAAAAATGACTTGTTTAGATCAGATTATTACGTAGGCGTCTTCGAGGCAAGAGTGAATATGTTTTTACTGAGCTATCGCGTTTACCATTTACGCCTGCATCGCCACTAAGCATTAGGTGGGATGGCAGTTCAGCACAAGGCTGTTTGGAATTATAATTAAAAAAAAGAATGACAGGATGGGCAAAGAAGGGGGAAATAGATGGATGTAAGTAGCTCAGGATCGTGCTTCTTGGCAATCTGTGGTAAAGGATTCCGTTCAGCATTGGGCTAGAACAGGCTAAAATAATGATGATATTATTAAATTCAGCATGATTATTAGTACGCTTGTCATGGTCGTTAACTCAAACCTGCAACTTTTTTAGTGTTTTATTATACATAAAAAACACGTCATATGTGTATTATTTTCCCGTTGTTCATACACAAAGTCAACCTATAAATAATACAGGGCAAGCATAGTAATAGTAATATATATTTTATACACATTATGTAAACGGTTTTTGCTTTCTCATTAAACTTTATTTGTTTTTTTATCTGAAAGTTGTCAAGCGAGCATGCGGTTCTCCTGATGTTAAATGATTACCGCTGCCTACGGACATTACAATACCTGAGGGCAGAGAACCAAAGCGGGCACCGATTAACTCACCATCAGATGAAACGCGAAAGCATTATACTTCCATTTGGCGCTGGTCTTCTGTGAAGCTGTGGTACCTCCCCGGGCTATTCCCCGGGCATTCGTTTTTTTTGGTATCGGGGGGGGAAATCTTCAAAAGATACCCTACCTTACATGACAGGGTTATGTTTTTTTTACCCACTAAAACTCCCTGGGTGGTAAATTACTGTACGTTTGGAGGGA